TCCCCTCTTCATTTTTTGAGAACCATGCACAAGACAGTTCATGTGGAGATACTGGTTATGCCATTTTTAATTACCCATTGTGTTTTAAAGATTTTATTTGACAGGGGATCCCTGGGTGGCTCAGTGGTTTAGTGCCTGCTTTCTGCCCAGGGCGTGATCCTAGAGTCCCGGGATCAAGCCCCACGTCAGGGTCCCTGCATGGAGCCTGCTTCTCCCTCTGCCTGTGTCTCTGCCTCTCTTTCTCTCTCTGTGTGTCTCTCATGAATAAATAAATAAATTCTTAAAAAAAAAAAAAAGATTTTATTTGACAGCATGAGCACAAGGCAGGGGGAATAGCAGAGGGAGAGGGAGAAGCAGGCTCCCTGTGGAGGAGGGAGCCTGACAAGGGACTCGATCTCAGGTTCCTAGGATCATGACCTGAGCCAAAAGCGGATGTTTAATCTATTAAGCCACCTAGGCACCGCTTTAATTACCTTTTTTTTTTTGTATATTTACTTAAATATACTGATATATCCATCGCCTTCTATTCAAAACTTGAAACAAGATTTATATGTGCTAATAGAGAAAAGTCTTAATGGTCTGTCATCATTAAATCAAGCATATTGTGAGACTGTCCATATTGCATACCATTTATGTATTTTTTAACACGAAAAAAAAAACAATATGTGACTGTAGGAATGCTAGAAAAAGAACAGTTTTTCTTTTTATTCTATCCTAGCTCACAATGTGTTGTCTTCCCTTTTAACCATCTCTCTTAGCTTTCCACACTTGAAGTCAGATACCACTGTGTTCTTCCTAACACATGTACACTCTTCCAGTGTTGGGTATGTGGTTTATTTAAGCTGCCTTCTCAGTGGGAAATCAGTTTTTATTGACTGTGGTTCAGGTAACAATGTCATGCCCACTCGTCTTTTATTTGTGTGAATATCCCTGTAGGATAAATTGCTAGCAGAGCTACTGGGTGTCAGGGTGGCTGTGACAAACTTGCTACGGAGAATACCTCCACTTTCTCTCTGAGCTCAGGCTTTAATGAAAAGAGATTGGGGGCACCCAGGTGGCTCCATCAGTTGGGAGTCCAACTCTTGATTTTGGCTCAGGTCATGATTTCAGAGTCGTTGGATCGAGCCCTTGAACCCTGAGTTGTACTTGAGTTCAGTGGAGAGTCTGCTAGAGATCCTGTCCTCTCCCTCTGCCCATCTCCCTGCTTGCATTCTATCCTTCTGTCTCCCCATCCCCCACTCTCCCTCTCTTTGGGGCAAATAAGTAATCTTAAGAAAGAAAGAGAAAGAGAAAGAGGAAGAAAAGAGAGATTGGGAGGATTTTTTGTTTTATTTTGTTTTCTTAGAAACTGAGTTTGAGTTTGTCCATGCGCATTACTACTTGGATATCTTTCTTTTTTTTTTTTTTTTTTTTTTGGATATCTTTTAAGACATGAGTGGAATCATTTCCCCAAAACTATGCTATTTAGAAGCAGCCGTTGGCCCTGCTTTGCCAGTAGATTAATTGACTCATGTTCCTGCATGCTGAGGCTTGTTGGGGACATGTGCCTCCTCAGAGATGTGCAGTTGTGTTTGCTTCTGTGGTAGGACAAGTGTTTTCCTTGTTGTTTGCTCAACTTTTTCTTGGAGGAAAATTATTAACCAATGGCTCTCAGAGAGCCAATTCAAGAGTCTTGATTCAGAAACAACCTACCAGTCAGTTTTTTTCTGGGCTTGTCCCTGTTCTGTATGTGTAAGTGCCCAGTGTTTTCTCCTTGGCAGTCTGGAACTTACTTCCCTTGCCAATACACAACACAATTTTGCCTCCTTCACTCTTCCATGGGCAGTTTTTTTGTGTAAGCACACTTGACTTCTCTTAGCCTGGATCCCTGTTTGCTGGCCTCCACGGTTTTTGTATACTTTGAACGCGAGGTCCGTAAACGTGTCAGGCCCTCCAGTTGGCAAGTGAGAAGTACAGAGTCAGATTTCCCATAAATGGCAGTTGGTAGTGCTGAGCACTTGCTTCCTGGATCTCCTTAAGTCGTCATATCGACCTTGGAAGGTAGGTGGGGTTATTTATTCCCCATTCTAAATATGAGAAAATGGATACCAACTGAGGTGCAGAGAAATGAGATTGACTTTTCCCTGAAGCACACAGTCACTAAGTGAATGATAAAGCCAGCTGGATTAGTCAGTCCCAGAATCTGTTCTCCCAGAGGCTCCCAAGCTAATGGGGAAGTGAAACTCACAGTCCCCTTGCTAAAGAAGCCAGAGTGGGGGCCAACCTTCAGCATTGTTTCTTTATTGCTGTGGAAGCCATTACTGGGGTTGATTATATCTTAAACCACAGAAGTACATGTATTAGTGTCCTGTTGCTGCTGTAACAAATTACAGTTGACACTGACACCCATGCCTGTTGAGCTGAAAATCCATGTATAACTTTTGACCTCCCAAAAACTTAACTGCTAATAGCCTACCATTGACTAGAAGCCTTCCTGATAACACACAGTCGATTAATACCTATTTTATCTGTTATACATATTATGTACTATATTCTTATGGTAAAGCATGCTACAGAAAATCATAAGAAAGAGAAAAAGACATTTATACACTATACTGTATTAAGGAAAAAGTGTGCTCCACTCACCACCCCAGTGATTGTAAATCCCATCACTCTTAGTCAGAATGCCTTCAGCATTAATCATGCCTTACTTTATGCTGGACAGGAGTATTATTATTTACAGTGATTTAAGTTTAGGTTATTAGATGTTTCATTGAATGTTTGATGCATAAGTTAGTTATGTGGAACAGCACGGAGAGGTGGGCAGGCTGTGTGAAGAGGTGTTTCTCATGTGCTGCTCCTTCCTTTTCCTAGATCTTAAACAACATAGCCATTAGAAATATTAGAAACTATTAGAAATAATGGTATTAAAGTCTTCATTGCTGGGGCTTCTGGGAGGCTCAGTGGTTAAGCATCTGCCTTTGGTACAGGTTGTGATCCCAGAGTCCTGGGATCGAGTCCCACACCGGGGTCTCTGCAGGAAGACTGCTTCTCCCTCTGGCTATGTCTCTGCCTCTCTCTCTGTGTGTCTCTCATGACTAAATAAAATCTTAAAAAAAAAAAAAAAAGCTGGGTGGATAAACTACATTTTATGATTAGAAATTGAGAATCAAAAAGATATGGCTGTTTGCTCTCTAAGCCCTATAGCTAGTAGCTCAAGAGCTTTGTTTAAAGAGAAAAATGGAAAATGTTCCACTTGATAGAGGAGTGAAAACCATAGTTAATGAGTATTGAGTTTATGTGACATAACTAATGCCTGTTTTTGTCTTCAGATGGGAGTTCAGAATGAAGTGGAGTGAGTAGGCAAAGAAGGGGTAGAAAAAGAAGGGAGAGGGCATAGATAGGTAAGGTAGGGGTGTTATGGTATTTATGGGTGTATAGCTGCTGGAGGTTTCTGTGACCCTGTTTTCGTACTTCATCACGGTTGTAAATGGGGATATTGCTAATCCTTGACTCATGGAAGGCTGATACCAAGCCAGAGCTGGAGTACGAGGCACGATTTTATTGGTTAATTGTACAAAAAGAGAAAAGCCTCTGTGTATGTGGGCTAGGACAGCCATTTGACCTGGCTTCAACCCCATCTGGGACTGCTTTGGTGTTAACTTGGCCTTCCCCTAAGACACATAGGACAGAGGGCTGGGAGGAGCACAGGCTAGGTTTTCATCCCTGCAGAGCACTGAGGCCTCGTTATTAAGCCAGGTGACTTTGGTGCCAGCTAGTGCTACTGTTTTTAGAATGTGACAGGATGGAAGTAACAGATGAATTTTGGTAGGTGGGCACACCAGCTGTATAAACCCAACCAGTATATTTTCTCCACGCTGTTCTTTCCCTCCTGCTCCCGGAAGTAGATGTTGAGCCATCCGCCTCCCCCTCCTTTCCCTTGAGCTGTCCCTCCCCGGCCCTCCCCTCTGTAGGAAAGATGAAGACTCTCTTTCCTGTATTACTCATGAGTTCAAGTTGAGAACAATATAAAGGACATAGAAGGTGCTTTATTCTGAAAACTTTGGGTAAAAAATTGCAGGGTGACTTGGCTCCGGGTTAATTTTAGCCTCTATTTTGTGGATTCAAAACGTTTTACCAAAAAGATGAACTAAGAGACTTCCGAACCAATTCTAGCGGGTAGAGAAACAAGCTAAATAATGTGGCAGAGAGAGTCCCCAACGCGGAGCAGGACAAATAGCTGCATTCTTCAGTGGGTCAAAGGCATGAAAGACTAAGGTTGGGGGTGGAGGGCAGGAGCTACTCTCGTCAGAGACAGGCCAAGCAAATGCCAAGTTTAGGACCTTGCTTGGAACTTGAAACTAAAGAAGCATTTGTTAAAGAGAAATAATAATTAAAAATACATAAATGAAAGACACTTCTGAGGACATCAGGAAGATTTGTGTATGGTCTGTGTATTAGTTGGTATTGAGGAATTAATTTTTATTGAATGTGATCATCACATTACAGTGAAAAATCCCGTATTTTGGTACATCTGAAGTAGGCATGAAACGTCAAAGTCTGAGGTTTGCAACCATGGAAAAGCTAACAGAGGAAACAAGGTGGACAAAATTTGAATGGTTGAATCTAGGTAATGGCGATGTGTGGGGCTCACTGTACAGCTCTCTACATCTACAATGACAGAATTTCCTAGTGACTTCCTTAAGTGTTTTACCCAACCTGCCAAGCTCAAAGTTGAGTTGTACCTGCTGTCCGCTGCAGTTGTCCTATCAGTCACGAGACCACACCCTTGAATTCCTGTTAGAAGGCATGTTGCCACCAACCCAGAGCCAGAAAAACTGAATTCTGTCCTGAAGGGGCTTTTCCAACAATTGCCTTCAGCTTATCCAGAGCTCCTGATTCTGGATGAAGGACCAAGGTGTTGACCTCGATACAGGGGATTCACCAGCCCCTGGAGGATGGAGTGATAGCTTTTTTTTAAAAAAAAAAAAAAAAAAAAAACTTTTCACTTTATTTTGTAGGACCACCAAAAGGCCTCAGACCTTCTATGATGGAAGTCATGCCTGTGCCAGAGGAGTATGCCATATTCCCATGGCTGAACCATTCTGCCCCAAAACGAGAGAGGTTCGTAGTCTTTTGGGAAGGTGCACCGAAATAAGTTGTGGAGGGCTTGGGTGGCATCTAGAGTTATATTAATTGGCTAAGCAGGTGATCCCTTTTCCCTCTCTCAAGCTTGCTTCTTATGCAAGGTTTCTAGAAGACTCCCCTTGTTAGTACTGCCTCCACTACTCTCTGTCACTCAAAGTTGCGACCTACCTTTTTTATAGGTTTTGATTTTGCTGTCAGAAGTCTTTTAAATAATTTAGTGTAGGACAGCATATTAACCAAGAGTGTATAGTCTGGAACTAGATTACTTGGGATCCAATCTCTGCTCTTGTGCTTAAGAGTTGTGTGTTGTTGGCCAAGTTATTCCATGCCCCCAGGCCTCAGTTTCCTTGTTTGGAAAGTGAAGGTAATGATAACGTGTACCTCATAGAACTGTGTGAGGGATAAATGAGTTATTACTTACAAAGTGCTTTGAACTCTACCTGTCAAGTTATGCAACATCCAACAACTGGTAACTGCTTTTATTAATTCAGTTTTTGATAATCTATAAATTGTCAGATTGGTATCATTGGCCTTTGAGCTGAGTTTGGCTATTACTGTTCAGCCTCCTCTCTAGAATTATAGTAAAATCTTAAAACTAAGGGGGTAGCCCTACAAAGATTAGTGGAACAACTTAAGCATGTTACTCATTCAGATAATTTTAACACCTACTTATGGAAAGCAGATTTATTGTAACTTTTTTTTTTAGATTTATTGTAATTTCTATGTCCAGCCCTCCTAAGTGTGTAAAAGTAGTTTTCTTGTAGTTAACAGCAAGGGCACCTTAACCTCACTGTGGACCCAAACAAAAATCTAGAATCTGAAGCCAGGAGTCAGGGGGAGCCATTTCAGATATATCACTGCTTGTTGATTTCTCTGTGATTTCTGTGAAAATACATTTTTTGTTTGTTTGTTTAAAAAAAAAATGGCAGGTTAAGTTTGTATTTGGGTATTTGGGAAATATATGTTTCCAGATACCAACAGAATATATCAAATGCTGCTGGTAGTCTTCCCTCTGAAACACAGATCTGTCCACATAATAGATTTGCTTTCCAAGGGTATTAGATGTATATAAGATTCTTGTTCATTTCAAAATCGGGACAGCTTAGGAAGAAATAGACTAAGGAGAGAATAGGCCTGAGATTTTGTCCCAGGGAGGGAACACTGATTTCAGGTACTAGCAGTAAAGATAAGAGAGGGGAAATACTAATGATGTATACAGACACATGCAAATGTGGTGGCTTGGTGATTGTTCCCAGTAATAGGGTTTGGCCTCCCTTGAGACCACACTAACTCAGCTCTTCTTGGTTTAGCTAAGCCAGGGGACCTTCCCATGTAAGACTAAAAGAACACTAGGTTTAAGAAAACAGGAAAAAAATAAGTCTTTGAAATATGACCTCATTCCTACATACTCTGAAAGAGATTTGTAAATACCATCCAGAAATGTAGAGAAGTTGGTGCTGTGTCCCCTGATAATTATCTCTTTAACTTTCAACATTCACATGACCTTTCATGTACGGATGAGGAAGGACTGTCAAGGTGAACTGTCAAGTGGTGAACAAGATGTGAACAGTGGTTGTACCATATTCTTGTGTATATATAAAGAGGTAAATATGAAAGTATTTACATGCAAATAGTGTTTTTGGAAAATTGAACCAAAAAACTGGTAGTTTTTTTTTTTTTTTCCCTTGGGAGGGATGAAGTGGTTTGCTACAAAAAAATACTTGTCACATTAGTGGGGTAAATGTTTTGTTCCATGTCACTTTTACCCCAAAAATATTTTCACCTCTAGTCATTTTAGGAGGTAATCAGAAGCCAAGTTTTTCAAAAGTCCAGACACATAAAATATATTTAGCTTGGGTAATTTAATATTGCTAATACATTTGCAGGATAGTGGGAAATTCAGGATTTCCATTATCTTTGCTCCAAACATGCAAATGAAAGAGTCTTCGCCTCAGACCCAGAGATCTCTTAGCCTGTGGTTTGGTGCAAAGTGCTGGTTCAAGTGACAAGACCCCAGAGTCTGTCTCTATGGCCGGTCCACATCCATAATCCTTCACTTCCTCCTCCTCACTATCATGGCACCTGCCTCCCAGGGTGACGTGAGAACTCAATATGCCACAGCCCAGTATACAAGGTTGTTGTGATATTCCTTCACTTATCTTTAGAAGTACTGAAGTTTGCTTAAGACATACAGCTTTGTTATTCAGGATTTTAAAAGATATTTAATGAAAACAGGACTGGGCTGGCTGTATTTTAATTTGGGGATGGGGGAGATAGGTAGGGGTAGGAGGAATGATTTAGGCCCACAAATTTATAATCTGTACTCTAGGGGAAAGTTTTTAAGCAGCAAAATCCTATTTTCAGCATATATAGTATAATAAATAAACATGATATAACCTCAACTGTTCATTGTCTGTGACTTGTCATGCTTCTAAATTTGGAGTTGCCAGGGCTCTCATTAAAATTCTTTCTCCCGTTGCTATAGCATAATGAAAATTATTTTTAAAGAAATAGGTTAATTTGCCTATGTGGTTCTGACATGTGCAGGCTAGACTTTGGCCTAAATTGGAGCCTTTATTGACACTGAGTCACACTATTTTATATATAGAGTACCCCAGGAATCTTTGCCAATTATTTGGCAAATAAGTGTAGAAGGTGCCAGTGTAATTGTTAGAAGACTGGTTTAGCTTTATCCAGTGTTTACAATGTGTCCGATACAATTCTTTGCTGTGTTATTTTTTAGCTCATTTAATCCTCACAATACTTCTATAATACAATCTAATTATTCCCATTTTACAGATGAGAAAACGAAAACATTAAAAGATTAAGTGAATTTTTGGCAGTGCTTAATCAGGTTAACAATTAATTAATTGATTTTTTTAAAGATTTTATTTATTTATTTATTTATTCATTCATTCATTCATTCATTCATTCATTCATGAGAGACACAGAGAGAGGCAGAGACATAGGCAGAGGGAGAAGCTCACAGGGAGCCTGATGCAGGACTCGATCCCCAGACTGGAATCATGCTCTGATCAAAAAAGGCAGACAGATGCTCAACCGCTGAGCCACTCAGGCATCCCAACAGTTAATTTTTTTTTCCAGCTAAATTTATTTTTTAATTAGAAAGGAATGTTGAAGCAAAGGCTAGAAATTAGGCAGCCCGGGTGGCTCAGTAGTTTAGCACCGCTTTCAGTCCAGGTCCTGATCCCGGAGACCTGGAATCGAGTCCCATGTCCGGCTCCCTGCATGGAGCCTGCTTCTCCCTCTGCCTATGTCTCTGTCCCCACCCCCCACCCCTGTGTCTCTCATTAATAAATAAATAAAATCTTTTTTTAAAAAAGGCTAGAAATTGATAACCTGAGGATTAGATGTGTATTAATAATTAGACTATGGAAAAAATGATCATTCTTTTATTTTTTTTAAAGATTTAATTTATTTATTAGAGAGAGAGCGAGAGTGGCATAGGGAGAAGCAGCCTCCATGCAGGGAGCCTGACACGGAACTCAATCCTGGGACTCCAGGATCAGGCCCCTGGCTAAAGGCAGCACTAAACAGCTGAGCCACCGAGCTGCCCGTGATCATTCTTTTAAATAATGTTTTTAAAACCCATGCATGGCCTTAAAGTGGTATCATGATAAATTTATTCTTAGAAAAAAACCAGAATAGCTTCATTCTGTTTTTGTATGTGTTTTGGGAGAGGCAACAGGCTAAAGAGATTATGAAGAAACCATTTTCTTTTTGGGGGGTGTGGAAAGAGAGAGAGAGAATCTGAAGCAGGCTCCATCTCCATGCCCAGTTTGGAGTCCGATACAGGGCTCCATCTCACAACCCTGAGATCATGATCTGTGCCAAAACAAAGAGTTGGATGCTTACCTAGCTGAGCCACCCAGAAATTGTTTTCTAACCAAAAAAGGGTTCTAGAAAAGTCTTTAGCTCTTGTGTGAAATACCAATCAGGAGCTTGGAAACCATTCTTAGCATGTCTTTGAGTAGATGTGAGTCGGACTGGCACCCTAGCTCAGCCTGGGAGGGGAAGGGATCAGACTCAAATCCATGTTCACAACCCAGCTTAGTCTCTTCAAGTTGTAAAGAAATAAGTGAAATTAAAGTATATAAACAAATGCCGGTATATAGAAAAAGTTCACAGTTTGCTTTTGTATCTGTAAGCTGTGTGTGCAAGGGGCTGGGGGAACAGGGTTACGTAAGTGGGTGAGGGTCTAGAAAACACCCTTTTGTGATCTCCAGGCACTGTCTGAGGACCTGAGGTACTGACCATTTACAGTAAAAATTTTAAGTAATGGAACATGTTGAACATCAGGGAAAACCCCAAAATAACTCAGCTGTTACTTATGTTTGTAAGTTTTGAGTTTGTGGTTCTTTGTTTTCTAGGTCCTCATAGAGACGGCTAAAAAGTTAGGACTCCGGTGCCATTCAAAAGGGGCAATGGTCACAATCGAGGGACCTCGTTTTAGCTCCCGGGCAGAAAGTTTCATGTTCCGCACCTGGGGGGCGGATGTTATCAACATGACCACGGTTCCAGAGGTGGTTCTTGCTAAGGAGGCTGGAATTTGCTACGCAAGTATTGCCATGGCAACAGATTATGATTGCTGGAAGGAGCATGAGGAAGTGGTACGTAGAATTCTCTTCTCAACATGTATGACCTGGGTTTCCAGGCATCATGGGAGTGTCTTAACTATTAGTTCCATTGTATTGGGTCTGGAAAGTGCCTTTCTACCAGGTTTTAAAGTTAGCTTTCCCTATGTGGTCAGGTATTTTCTTTATACTTCTCCTTGGAAGATATGATCTCCACAGGGAAGAAAAAGACACTGATCCAAGGATAAACAGTACATTTTGGACATGTAGGTGTGATGGGAATCATATTGCGACTTGGGCCTTATTTTAAGGATGAAAATGTGTTTTGGTTATCATTTCTTTATCCTGTGCTACTGGTTATTATGTTTGTTTTCAAAGGGAAAGACCTATTACCTCTTCCCTATAAGAGGACTCTATTCATATCTGTTTAACCTACCATGACTAGATGATGTTGGTGTAGGAATATGACAGCAGATAGACAAGCCTGTGAGAAGCAAACATTCTGAGGCTTTTGGGGGGTTGGGGGCGGGGGGAAGTGCAGAGGTTAAGCTGACCAGTATAAGGAAGCTCAGGGTTCTACAGAAATAGTATGGTGAACAGTACATATCCAATTGACCCAACCAAATATTTGCAGTCTGAAAAGGCTTTCTGGTGTAAGAATGGTGGGATAGACAGGCATCCTTGGGTGGAGTGGAAAAGAAGGAGTAGACTATGTAAGTATTTCAGAGGGGAGATCAATTATGGGTTCTGGGCAGGAAAGATAGCAAGGTCCAGCTGATGTGTGAAGACACTAGACCACTTCAGCCAGGCTTCCAAAATAAATATACTTTTTTTTTAAGATTTTATTTATTTATTCATGAGAGACACAGAGAGAGAGAGGCAGAGACATAGGCAGAGGGAGAAGCGGGCTCCATGCAGGGAGCCCAATGTGGAACTCCATCCTGGGACTCATCCTGGGGTGGGATCACACCCTGAGCCAAAGGCAGATACTCTACCACTGAGCCACCCAGGCGTCCCAATAAATATTCTACTTATTGTGGAAAACTTCAAACATCTGTAAAAAGTTGATAGTCTAGTATGATGAACCTCCAATTACCCATCACACAGCTTTCCAGTTAGCCATGGCCAGTCTTGTGTCCTATATATAGTGCCCCTACCCACTTCTCTCTCCCCTGCCTTCATTACTTTGAAGTAAATATTTTTCCAGAAGGCCTCTTTTTTAAACTAAAATAATAACAAAATAACTTCAATACCACTATTGTAACCAAGAAATATTGATATTAATTGCTTAGTGTAACCAAATATCCAGACTGTTTACATTTTCCTTCTTGTCTCATATAAACGTTCAAATCAGGGTCCCTTATAATCCACACATTGCATTTGAATGATCTGCCTCTTAAATCTCTTCTGATATTCCCCATCTGTCTTTTCACTCCTTACATTTCCCTGGAAGAAGCTGAATCATTTGTCTTGTCCCCTGTCTGATTTTAAAATAGAGAAAAGGGGCAGAGGGTGCTTGGGTGGCCAGTCTATTGAGCATCTGACTCTTGATTTCAGCTCAGGTCATGATCTCAGGGTCATGGGATCAAGCCCCATGTCAGGCTCCCCACTCAGGGAGTCTGCTGGAGATTCTCTCCCTCTGCCCCTCCTCCCCCTTAACATGTACATGTGCGCACTTGCTTGCTCTCTCTCAAATAAATAAATAAAAATCTTTTAAAAATAAAATAGAAAAAGGGACAAAATTACAGGCAAGGAGTTTTGAAGATTTTATTTGTTTATTCATGAGACACGCACAGAGGCAGAGACGCAGGCAGACAGAGAAGCAGGCTCCACGCAGCGAGCCTGATGTGGGACTTGATCCCAGAACTCCAGGATCATGATCTGAGCCAAAGGCAGACACTCAACCACTGAGCCACCCAGGCACCCCCAGTCAAGGAGTTTTGAAGTAAAGAACAAGTGCACGGGTAGCTATTATGAGCACATTTATGGGAGGTGACGTCTTCTCCGAGATGACCCTTCCCACCATCTCAGAGATGCTTGTTGTGCTGTCCATTTTCATGTAAAACCGTAAGATATCCATCTGTCAGTCCATCTATGTATTTGGAATTTGGGTTGTACTTGAACACAGGTTCTTTGTTTTGCATGGGTACCTTGTCCTGATTCCTCAGTGTAATTAACCACTGCACTACTAAGGTATTTTGTGTGTAAGAAACTTCCAGATCCTGACACAGCATAATCTCTAACTTGGCAGCTCTGGTCACCTAAGGGACACGCTCAACCTTCTGGATGTTAAGAAGCTTCTTCCAATTAGCAGGAGGCTCCAGCCTCTGCCACACCCTAAGAGCAGGTTGCTTCCTGCCTCTGGCTTTCTGCTCAGTCTAGTAATATTTGCCTCCTGCAGATCAAATGGTGCTTTCCTTTACTACATGAGGTTTGGAAAGAAGTCAGTTGGAGCCACTTGAGTTGAAAGCAGAGAAGCTAAGCTGTGTGTAAGTGGTAAGGCACGAAGGCAGATAATGCTAAATGCCACAAGAAAAGCACAGACGGAGATCACATCATCACCCAGCCATGTGTGTCATTGAGCTTTAAACCAGATGTGCGGCCTGGTGTGGTGCAAAGATTTGAGTTGCCTACACCCACCTTCAAATTCCTGTTGCTCCATTTACTTGTGAGACTGGACAAGTTCTCTAATCCATCTACTCCTATGTGGGATGGAGCCAGAGGTGAGGGGTGGAGGTTTTTCACTTACACTTCTAACCTTGCAGGATTTCTGGGAGAATTAAACCAAATGTAGAGTAGCTGCTATAGTGCCAGCTCCTAAGAGAGGGTGGTTATCACCAGGCAGCTATGATGGAGAGAGGTGGTGCAGAAATGTTTGAGAAGAAAACTTGTTGTTTAGGCTGGACATTAAGCAGAGGGTTAGATTTTGCTGTGAAGAGGTTAGTAGAATGGGCATTTTGGATGGAGCCCAACAGCAGAAACAAAGAGAAAAGAGAGGTCAGAGTCCAAAGAAGTCAATTATCAGTCAAAAGAAGGAGTGCCTCAGTCAGTTCAGTGTCTACCTTCAGCTCAGGTCATGACCTCGGGGTCGTGGGATCAAGCCCTGCATTGGGAGCTCCCTGTTCATCAGGGAGTCTGCTTCTCCTTCTGCTCCCTACCCCCCTCTCTCTTGCTCTCAAAGTCTCTTGCTCTCTCTCTCTTGCTCTCAAAGTCTTAAAAAAACACATCAATCAAAGGAAAAACAGTAAATATAAGGTAAATCTCTTGGATGCTTCATGAGCCTGCACTGGAAGACTCTGCTTAAAACTTGCTTCTGCAGGTACTTGGCAACACCCAGCTAGTCACTGCTTTGAATTCCCACAGTGATGGAACTCCCATTGGCTACAGTGCTTGTCATTTTTTTCTAAATACATTTCCGTGTTTGTGGGATGGGTCTGGAGTTTATATAAACTCTAAGAAATAGAAAGATGTAATCTTTGTGCGCTTGAACCCCAGATTCCCTCTAAGTATAGTGAGGTGTGACAAGTATTCTACCTCTGATAGCCATCTTACATTCACAACTTTTTTTCAACGTTTTTATGGAAGCAATTTTGGTGATATACAGAAGTTGACCATAGTATGAGCTTTTGTAAATCAACATCCAGCTTCAATTGTAAATGTATCATCTTAGGGCCAAATCTATTTCATCTGGACTCTGATCCATAATTTTATCCATAAACACCTAACATAACCACATTATCATTATCACATCCCAATGGTAATTCCTTAATATTTCAAAGCACAGTTCACATTTCTAGTTATACCAAATATCATAACTTTTTACCTCCAAGTGTTCTGAAGAGAAACTAGGTCTTTTGTCCTGTAGAGTTTCCCACAGGAAACTTTCTGGATCACTGAACTCATCTCCTTGGGGGTAGTTTGACAGATTCCTCTGTCCTCTGTATTTCCTTTAAATTGACAGCTGGTTCTAGAGATTTGTCCCAATTCAGGTGTCAAAACTAGTGTTGAGGGGCAGCCTGGGTGGCTCAGCGGTTTAAGCGCCTGTCGTCAGCCCAGGGCGTGATCCTGGGGTCCCGGGATTGAGTCCCATGTCAGGCTCCCTGCATGGAGCCTGCTTCTCCCTCTCCCTGCTTCTCTGCCTGCCTCTCTCTCTCTCTCTCTCTCTCTCTCTCTCTCATGAATAATAATCTTTAAAAAAATAACTAATAAATAAATCTTAAAAAAAAGTGTTGAATTAATATGATTCCTGTAAGGAAGCTCATTAAAGTGGATTGTTTGTTTTGGGATTTGTTTTTGTCGTTGTTCTGTGATGTTAGCTGTCCATCCATTAATTCATTGGGAGCTATAAAAATGACAATACTCTGATTCCAGCATTTCTCTTTATTAGCTGGAAGACTTCTTGAAAGATAAATGTGCTTATCTTGTGATTGGCTAGCCAGTGTAGCAGCAGTTTTAAGACTGGAATCCATTCTACTGTGGATGTAAGGAGCATTAGCCACATCTTTCCAGACCTGATAACATATTATACATCTGAGAAAGTTTCTCAAACGTTATATTGAAAACCAGCAGTTTTTTTCAGAGATACCATTGGATTCCTCCACCATCTCCCCTCTGGGACCAAGCCTGCCTTGAAAAGTGCAGAGCTAGTGCCCAGGGGATTGGAATTGGAGTGAACTGACTCTACAGTTCTGTGAACAGCAGTGGAATTGTAAAATTGCTAGTAACATTTTCTGCTGTTTTTTTTTTCTCTAGGTTTCAGTGGACCGGGTCTTAAAGACCCTGAAAGAAAATGCCAATAAAGCCAAAAGTTTACTCCTCACTACCATACCTCAGATAGGTTCCATGGAATGGTCAGAAACCCTCCATAACCTGAAGGTAAGTACCCTCAGCCATCTGCAAGCAGACACTTCCATGGACCATCATCTGCCTTACACTAGTCTAGAGGTTCTCTACCAGTTTTCATGCTCTTGCCTACCATACTACCAGTGTGAAATCGAGTAGTTACGGATTTTGGCTAGTAATACAAGGCTGCTGAAAGTTGAGGTGGTGAGAGTTTTATTATCTAGTCTGCCAAGTTCTTAATATTGTCATGCTCTACAGGATATTCCTAAGTCATACTACAGAAGGTTGAAGATAGTGCTTGTTCTGTACATGGCTTATATCCCTGACAAAGCTGTTTGCTCTTTGGCAGACCCAGGCAAAGTGTTGGCAGCCTTTAAAGCCAAAACACGAATAGCAATACCAAAACGGTGCCAGGAGTGTACTTAGGATTGATGTTATATCAGACTAAGACAGTGATTAATGATAAACATGGGATGGGTTGTAGATTGGTAGCTTTTCAACTCTAGCATTAGTTCCCAGAATATCATTTAAACTGAGTGCTAAACTCAGAGACTCATGATTTTTATTTGGACATTTTTTGATTCTCTTGATTAACCATACTGGATAAGGAGTTGCCTCAAATTGATTGGATATTCCCCTACTATCCAGAGAAAGTAGCTAGCATGGCCTAAGGTGTTGAACATACTGTACTCTTAGGTCTTATGACAGGTAGTTGAGAGAGGATTTGAAAAGTTGATAAAAGCCCTCCCTACCTGAACTACTACCACCAAGGAGCCCTAGAATGAGAGTCACAATTTTAGTGTGATGAAGACACCGCATGGTGGTCAGTGATTGACAGCTGCTGGGCACAGAGGAGCCATGGTTTAAGTGCTCCAGCATAGCCGATTTCAGTCCATCAATCCAAAACCACTGATGGATCCAAAGAGCTGATTCTTGCAAACTGATACAGCAGGCTACACTACACACCCCTCTAACAAGGTGTCTCTCAGCCCTAAGGACTGGCAAGTCAGGAATATTGGAATTTGTATTCCAGTCTTTCCCACTAGACTTCAAGTGCATAAGAGACAGGAAATACATGTGTTGGTTTCAGCCTTTATACCTAGGAGCTAAATATTCTAAATGACTAAATGATAGCCCCTCTTTCCCCCATGAAGTGTTTCATCATAATTGAAATGGAGACAAACCTTGTTAATAATTACAAAGAAAAGGGAAACAAAGTAATTCTAAGAACTGAGGAAAGTCCGTTTAAACTGGAAACCGTTATATCTCCCTGGGTGCAGTGCAATAAGAAAAGCATGACGTTAGCTTGTCTAAATAAGCACACTATTGATTGTGGGAAATATGACTCATACTTTTTGCTGCTGCTGAGGCTAGTGTCACCTGCAAGACGTGATGGGTTTTATTTTTTTCTTTAGGTTTTTCAACTGACCCCATTTTGACCATAGTCTTTCGAATTTGAATATAATTTCTCAAGGAGTAAAATTTATCATTTCAGCTTCATTTTTAAATAAATCTTAGATGGTAGAAATCCATGCTCTCCTTTCCTTCTGAGAAGTTTCTGAAAGTATGCAATTATAGTGTGTTTCCCTATGTGTGCATTTTTAAAGAGGGTTAATATTTATAGCTTTCATCAGATTCTCAAAGAGTTATATGATCTAAAGAAAGAAAATGAAGCATTTTGCTCTAGGCGAAACTGAGAATCATGGCCTTTGTTGTGACACATTAAGGCACACCCTACTAATAACCCTTTATTCTTGGGGGTATTTTGGGGGTAGTGTGTTCAGTCCTCTGTACACTGAAATGTGTGTCATGCATTCACTCATTTCAGAAACTGTGAGCACCTGCCATATGGCCAACTGTAGTTTACAAAGGTACATAAGACCTGTGGTGATGCGGAGGGGGACACTTGACGGGATGAGCACTGGGTGTTATTCTGTATGTTGGTAAATTGAACACCAATAAAAATTAATTTATAAAATTAAAAAAAAAATAAAAAATAAAAAAAAAAAGACCTGTGGTGATGAAGATGATCCTCTTATGTTTAGAGATACTGATGTACTAAAATTTCAAGGGTGTTTTCCAGTGGGATAAGGTGAATGACAGAGGTTGATATACATTAATCCAGGCTGGAGGTTAGTGCGTAATACATATCCTAGTGGATATGAAAGAGGGTGGAGATCTGGGAAAACCTGGACAGCCCTCTTGAGATAAGCAAAACTCACTTAGCAGGAAAGGAGAGTGAGGAACTACGAGTTAGGAGCTGTATTGCAAGTTCCACGTCTAGTTGGTTATTTTTAAGTTTTAATGAACATGAGAATTTTCTGAGTTTATTGAAAGTGTGGATACCCTGGGCCCTCAAGTCTCTGAAATCAAAATCTGGTTTTTAATAAGGACTCCTGGTGATTATCCTGATCTTAAGAATCACAACCTATAGCAAGCTGTGATCTGTGCCTGTTTTCTTTCTTTTAGAATATGGCCCAGTTTTCTGTTTTATTACCAAGACATTAAACTAGCATGGCCACCTAGAGGACAAGAAGACTTGCTAATTCCAGTCATTTGGGAAATTTCGGCTTAACTTGGAAAAAAACATGGAAAAGACATGCAGCTCTCATGCCCTCGCCTACTAAGGAAGAACATAATTAGACCACACGTGCACATATCAGAGATGCCTTCTAGAAGGGTTAGACTGCTTCAGAAAAATGACCAATGAACATGTGGAAAAATTCTGACATCTGACACTTTAGAAAAAAAATAAGACCTCATTTACCTTTGTAAATTTGTGATAATAAAGGGTTTCCCATGTTACCAAGGAAATATGAAGAAGAAATGGGAATTCTTAGACTGTTTATTGGTGTGACTATAAATTTCATACAGTCTTTTTGGAGGGCAGTTTGGTAAAATGTATCAAAAGGCTTAAAAATACTTATACTCTTTGTGCTGGTTACCCCACTCCTAGGAATTTATCTTTAAAAAATTATCAGGGATACAAAGAACTGTGTATAAGGAAGGATGTCTAATATAGCATTAGTCATAATAGCAAATATTCAAAACAATCTTAATATCCCAACAGTCAGAGGTAAATTATGGTATAGTTCTAATTAGATTGTGAAGCAGCCAACTGAAGATCCTGTTTTCACATAATATTTGATGTCCTAAAGAAATGGTTGCTCTATAATATGAAATGAAAAAAGGGTATGTGTACACATTTTACATTGCTAATGTTGTTTTAAAGTTCTACATTAATGTACAAAAAGACCAGAAATGGATATATAATCTTTTATTAACTGTATTTGGGGTTGGGACACTGAATCATTTTAATTTTCTTTATATTTTTCTGTCTTCACATTTTTCTACAATGAATATAACCAAATAATAAAGTTGTCTTAAAAATAAAAAGATCCAGCTCTTGAAAACATACTGGTGTGAAGCAAAGTTTAAGATGGTAATCCTAAGAGGAGTTCTGTTTGAGTTCCATCTTCATTTTGTTAAAAAAAAAAAAAAAAAAAAAAAGATCAATGATAACTGTATATAGTAAGAACGATAATTGGGCTTGCAACAACTTGAGAAAAGGTGGGTGTTTAATCATCACAGAGTAAATAAAATCTTAAAAAAAAAAATGTTTAAAAAAAATTTAGGGGCAGCTCTGGTGGCACAGCGGTTTAGCACTGCCTGCAGCCCAAGGTGTGATCCTGGAGACCCAGGATCGAGTCCCACGTCGGGTTCCCTACATGGAGCCTGCTTCTCCCTCTGCCTGTGTCTCTGCGCCTCTCTCTCTCTCTCTCTCTCTCTCTCTCTCTGTGTCTCTATGAATAAATAAATAAAATCTTTAAAAAATGTTTAATCCTCACAGAGTCTGAAACTCTGTGAGAGATAATAGACATTCTAGTGTGTCAAGTTTTTTTAAAATTAATATTTGGCCTTTGTTTCTACTTTTTATGAGTTGATTATTTTACATGAGTGAGTGGTTTGGATTTTTTTCATAAAACAGAAGCTTGCTTCTTACTCTTTTTTGTTGTTTTATAGGAATGTGTTTTGTTTTCTGTCATAAAGAGATCTTTTTTTCTTCAGAATTACTACTTTTCACTGTGGTCTGTTACTGGGTCTGTTAGTCATATAGCTTGTCTGTTTAAAGAGTGTAAAGTCAGTGTGTTTGTGTCTAAGGAGACTGTCCTCAAGATAATAAGCTGCTAGTTGTAATCAACAAAATAAACCAGTTACCCACCCACCCCAGCATTAATATTGAGCTGTTTGGGTTACAAGTGATTATGGTTCTCACATTCCCCAATGCAGTGATTCAACCCTGGCTGGACATTAGTTAAACACACATCACATAACAGATCTGAATCCAGGGCTCCCTGTCTCCGTAAACCCTGATCTGCCACTCTGTAATACTATATATATACTTTTCTTTCATTCTTAGTACATATCTGATGATGTCAAGGCAAAAATGTGAGCATTTTGCTGCCTTCAGAAAGCACAGTTCTCCCTCACCAACTTCTAGGGGCACTTTTCTTTTTTTTAAGATTTTATGTATTTATTCATGATAGTCACACACAGAGAGAGGCAGAGACACAGGCATAGGGAGAAGCAGGCTCCATGCAGGGAGCCCGACGTGGGATTCGATCCCGGGTCTCCGGGATTGCGCCCTGGGCCAAAGGCAGGCGCCAAACCGCTGAGCCACCCAGGGATCCCAAGGGGCACTTTCCTTGATTCAGCAGTCTTGAGTAGCAACCTCACTTTCAGACTTCTCACATGGAGTATACTCCTGTTTTGTTGCTATTTCCCATCAGCTGCTCCTTAATTCAAAACCAACATAATCTTCCTGATTTCTTCCTGGAGTGCTTTTTACTTATATGATCTTTCACTTTTTCTTTTTTAAGCTAAAAAATTAAGTAAACACGGTGAACAGTTTATTTCAGTTTCCCCAGTGGATTATGGGCATAATGGAAAAGCTGTGGCTTAGTGACCTAGTCCTTTGGGAGAGTGCCAAGTTATTGATAAGTGTATTTGCATCTACTCTATTGGTAATGCATCATTTTGCATTGTTTTTCATTGATTCTGTAGATGAACCTGAATAGTTCTATCTGTAGAGTGTTACCCCAAGAAAAGATGGAGAAGCCTGGAATACCAGGGTTATATTTGAGACCTGAAATGTTTTGCAAATTAGCCCCAGTGCATCCTGGAGTTGTTTATAATAAGCAAATGCTTAGGAAAAACTTTGAGATAAAATATTTAAAGGGATGTATGCAGTTAAGGACTTTCCCATCTCCCTATCTGATGAACTTCCATAAAAGGAAAACCTTTGTCTTTTTCACTTGGGATCCTGAGTTCCTTGAACTTAGCACAAGTTCAAGGAATCTTTGTGTAAATGAAAATCTAACCCGGGCAGCCCTGGTGGCTTGGTGGTTTAGCGCCGCCTTCAGCCCAGGGTGTGATCCTGGAGACCCAGGATCGAGTCCCACATCGGGCTCCCTGCATGGAGCCTGCTTCTCCCTCTGTGTCTCTCATGAATAACTAAATAAAAATCTTTAAAAAAAAAAGAAAAAGGAAAATCTAATCCTGTCTTTCCTACATCACTCTCAGCTGGTCAAAGACCTCACTCTAGTGGTTGCCCATCTCCATGCTCAAATTTTCCCTCATTGGATCATTTTTCCGAGGGCACAAATATGCTGGTACTTCTCCCAATAAAAAAATTCTTGGCTACAATTCAGTGTGGTGTCTGTCTGATTGCTTTGCCTTGTATTGGGATAAAGTCCCCAAAGATCTCTGTCTCCAATTCCTCTTCTTGTTTCTTTAGCTCACTCCAATCTAGATTGTGCTACCCATTTTCAACATCACCACCATCCTCAAGGTCACCTCCTTACTAAATCTACTGGTGAGTTTTCTCAGACTTCATCTTTCTTTTCCTATCAGCAGCATTTGATACATTTAATCCCTCCCTCCTCCTTGATAAATATTCTTCACATGTCTTCCGAGGACACCACAATTGGTTTTCCTTCTACCTCGATGGTTGCTATTCAGTCTTTTCTGGTTTTTGCTGTTCTCTCAGATCTTTTAGTGTCACCTGCTCCAGCACTCATTCTTCACTCATTCCTGTTTCCAGCCCCCCTCCCGATCTCTCCCAGCACTCTCCCATCTCGGTTGTTGGCAGTTTCATCCTTCCAATCCCTCAGATCAAAAACGTGGAGTTATTCTTAACTCTTCAAAACCTACATTTGCACCAGCAAGATATTTGTTCACTCTACCTACCATCCAAAATATATCCAGGAGGGCAACCCGGGCGGCTGAAGCGCCGCCTTCAGCCCAGGGCCTGATCCTGGAGACCCGGGATCGAGTCCCGTGTCGGGCTCCCTGCGTGGAGCCTGCTTCTCCCTCTGCCTGTGTCTCTGCCTCTCTGTGTCTCATGAATAGATAAATAAAATCTTTAAAAAAACATATATATTTATATAGGAAATGTGGCGCGTGGGTGGCTCAGTTGATTAAGTGTCTGCCTTTGGCTCAGATCGTGATCTCAGGGTTGTAGGATCGAGCCCCATGTTTGGCTCCCTGCTCTGTGGGAAGCCTGCTTCTCCCTTTGCCTCTGCTCCTCCCCCACCCACTCTCCCTCAAATAAAATCTTATTATATATATAAAGAAACTGACTTCCTCACATCAGCTACTGCCTCTACCCTGGCCTGAGTCACTCGCCTCTCACCTGGGTGCTGCAATAATCTAACTGGTTCTCCTGCTTCTACTCTAATAGAAACCCAGAAGCTAGAATGATCCTTGTAAAACATGAGTCATTCTTCTGCTAATTTCACTCAGAATAAGAGCCCAAATCCTCACAGTAGTGCATGAATCCTCATGGGATCTGCACGTATCCTAATCTCGAACTTCCTGCCGTCCTCTGTACCACTGACCATGCTTTTCCTAGAACACACCATGCCCTTTTCAGCCTTTAATGCTAGAGTACTTGCTTTATGTTTCTTCTACCTGGGAAACATCTCCCAGATAATCACGTCATTCACTCTATCACCTTCAAACCTCTGCTCAAAAATCACCCCACTGGATCAATCCCAACCATCCTATTTCTTTTTTTTAAAGATTTTATTTATTTATTCATAGAGACAGAGAGAGAGAGGCAGAGACACAGGCAGAGGGAGAAGCAGGCATCATACAGAGAGCCTGATGTGGGACTTGATCCAGGGTCTCCAGGATCACGCCCCCGGCTGCAGGCAGCGCCAAACCGCTGTGCCACGGGGCTGCCCCACCAACCATCCTATTTAATGCAGGGCAATGATTCTCACTACACATCCCCAGTACTCCTGCCCATTCTCACCTGAATCAACTTTTGTTTTTCCATAAGCTCTTAACACCTCCCAACATACCCTTAATATTTGTGTTTGCTTGCTTGCTATTGTTTGTTGGTATCTTCCACCCCCATTCCCTACAAAATAAAAATTCTGTGAAGGCAGAAATTTTGTTCACTGATATATATCCCAAGTGGCCAGAATGTGGCCTTCGTAAACTTTGAGCCAATACTGTTTTGAATGTACAGCTTCCTACTGATTATCACAATATTTGCAAAGCCCTGCATGTTCTGACATTTCTGGCTTACTCCAGCCTCTTCTCTCTACCTCCAACACCTGATGGCACTCCAGACCAGCGCTGTCCATAGAAAACATAATGCGAACCAGTATGTAATTTTGAATCTAGAAGCCACATTTTTAAAAATGAAATTGAAATTGTAATAATATATTAACCTAATTGACCCAAAGTACCATGTCAACCTGTAATCAATATTAAGTCAAAAAATTTTATGCATTCTTTTTCAAATACTAAATCTTTGGAATCGATTGTGTATTTTACACTAACAGCACATTTCAAGTCAGGTGCTAAATTTTTATCAGAAATAATTTGATCTGTATTAAATTTTACTATGAAAGGTAGATCCACAAACCCAAGTCATTGCAAGTATAATGAAACATCAATTTTTGGTTCATTAAAATTTTGTACTAAAATTATAAATTCAGGGCACCTGGGTTGTTCAGTTGGTCAAGTGTCCAACTCTTCATTCAGGCCATGATCTCAGTGTTGTGGGATCAAGTCCTGAGTTGGACTTTGTGCTCAGTACTGGTCTGCTTGTCCTTCTCCCTACCCCATGCTCACTCTGTCTCTCTCAAATAACTAAAATCTTAAAAAATAAAATTATAAATTCCATTTCTCAATTAGCTACATTTCAAGTGTTTGATGACCACATTTGTCTAACAGCCACCATATGGGACAGAGCAGCTCTTCACTTCAGATCCAAGCAGGCTGGACTTTCTCCTTGCTTCTGCCCTTTGTTGTCTCTACCTGAAAGACTGCTCCACCACCACCTTCCTTTATTTGGCTCATTGCCTGGCTGTCCTTTTTCTGATCCCCAAATGCCCTGCTCTACTATAGTACTTGTCTATTTATAGTTGTTACTTGTCACACTATAATTGCCCAGTTCATTGTGATTAGCATAGTGACTGACACATAAGAGTTACTATATATATTGATTAAATGTATAAATCCATGACACTTCTACCTGTGGATATTTTAGTTATGCATCCATTTCCAAATAACTTCTCCCCAGGCCCAGAGTCTGGCTCCTTGTAGTAGTTCAATTCATGATAAAAATCATAGTGTCCTGGCATGGCAGACACTGAAAGTCCATATTTTCCAAGAAGGGAATGAATATATTTACAGATATTATGTTGGTACCTTAATGAATGTTACTAGAGCCCCCTATCCATTCTCTTCTATTTTCCCAATTTATGTCCCCTTGTTATCTTAGCAGATTTGGGGGTTGGTCAGGTTTTAATACAATTGAAAAATTCCTCAGATGGAGGGAATGAGGAATTCTGGGTATTGAATCTTGAGTTTAAAAATATATAATTTGTTGCCTTTACTATTATTTACATCTTTCTTGTTCATCTTGGCATGTAATTTGTTTTCCCAAGGAGATTGTAGTTTTCTGTGAGTGGTGGACTGATTCCCAAGGGCCTGGCCCATGCCTTACATTTAATGAGCAACCAATAAAAAGTTGTTGGTGTTACCTCAATCAGTAGTTTAAATTGAACACACACAGAAATTGAACAGCTGGTCATATCAATAGGATCTTGAGGAAATGATTTTTGAAAAAGTACAAATACCAAAATACTTAAATGTTTTAGAATTCAGCATATAATTGAAAAAGATGTGTGCTTGATTTCATAGGTATTTTGCCACAGAGAACATTTGTTTCAGAACAAAAACAAAAGCATTTGGTGATTTCATTTAGAGAAAATTAACAGGAGATTGTTGGTGTTTTCAAACGATGCTCTCAGTTTTATAGATGATTCAGATTTAAAAAGTCTACACATCGGAATGTGATGATGTGTTCCTTAACTGCTCTTTTTGACCTCACCTTAGTTTACAAATCCCTCCCTGTAAGAATCAAGATTACAAGGTTAAAGCAGTAAGTTTTAGGAAAGTCAGTTCCAAATGTATACAAAAACAAAGAATAGTAATGAACCTTTATCTATTACCCAGCTTCAAGAATTTTCATCTCAGGGACGCCTGGGTGGCTCAGCAGTTGAGTGTCTGCCTTTGACTCAGGGTGTAACCCCAGAGTCCCGGGACCAAGTCTCACATCGAGCTTCCGGCATGGAGCCTGCTTTTCCCTCTGTCTATGTCTCTGCCTCTCTCTCTGTGTGTATCTCTCATGAATAATTGGATAAAATCTTTAAAAAAAATCATCTCATAGCTAATGTGTTTTTTCTATATTCTCACCTACTACACTCCTTCCATGTTATTTTGAAGCATTTCACATACATCATATAATTTCATCCATGAGTATTTTCATTGTTACTTCTAAAGGATAAGTATTTTTAAGGGAGCCACAATACCAGTAGTGCACATTTAAAAATAAATTAAAATTCCTTCATAGCATCAAATATGCAATGAATACTCAAAAGTTCAAATATCTTGGGGTGCCTGGGTGGCTTAGTCGGTTAAGTGTCCAACTCTTGATTTCAGCTCAGGTCATGATCTCAGGGCCATGAGTTTGAGCCCCCAACAGGCTCTGCGGCTGAGTGTGGAGCCTGCTTGAGATTCTCTCCCTTTCCCTCTGCCCCTTCCTTCCCTCGAATAAATACATTTTAAAAATAGATATCTTAATATATACACAGAAAGAGCATTTCATAAAGTTCAACAGTCCTTTATGGCAAACAATGTTAGTAAACAAAAAATAGAAATTCCTTAGAATTTAAGAATGGATCAGATATATACTATGAAATACATATGGGATAAATAGAAACAAAGCCATGGGAAGAGAAAATATAAGAAAACAATGAGACTATCTTAAAATACCAGGCAGATTAAAAAAAAACTAAATAGTACTGAAGAAAATTTAAAATATAACCAATAAAATTAGAAACTCAAAAGAGTAATTCAGAATATTAGGGTTGGAGAGAAAATTGATTCTGGATTATGAACTAAAAATAAACTCAGAATGTACAGAGAAATAGAGACAAAACATGACAGACAGCTTGACAGGTAAAACACAGCAGAAGTTCCATCATAAGGCTTACTGAAGAGAATACATGTTCCAGAAACAGGAAATAAAGAAGATGGGTGGCATTCTTCTGACTCTCAGCATGACAGCATAAGGAACTCTGGACAAGCTCACCAGTAA